AATATTTCCCCTTCCCCTCCAACCCTCCTTCCATGGCCAACTTCCCAGAGCAAAATACAGGGTATAAACATATAACAATCATACGCTAACATAAGCTAACTAACTATAGTATCCTAACCACCCTTTTATTAAGCTAAATTTAAATAAATTATAACATTCCTTGTTCATTCATAAGCTAATTGAAATTTCTTAGTCCGATATTTATTTTGAATGTAGTCAATCCTTCTCCTTGAATTTCTCATCTGAATAGTCCTTCAAATATGCTGAGATTTTGGCCATCTCTGCTAAGTTTACTACTTTTAACGTCCGTTCTTGAATAGTAGGCAATTCTTCCTTCTTCCAGTACTGCGCCACCAACAAGGAACGGATTGTTTCCTGCAAAAGCCCCCTCCCCATTTGCTCCTCTTTTGTTTCCTATGGGAGGGGCCAGTCACCTCCAAGGTGGGGCTTTACTCAAAAGTCCACCCTGCTTTCTTAGTTCTTCTTGTCTTCTGGCAGCTCTGCGCATGCGCACACTGGGAACAGGCCCCAGCTGTTCCTCTGCCTCACTGCTGTTTAGCTCCCTCTCTGCCTCCGACGCAGAGCCCTCGTCCGAGCCTTCCCCAGCCCCCAAGACTGGCCCATGCTCCTCCCCAGCAGCCTGTCTGTCTCTGCTGCCAGCTCCGTTGGGCGCCGGCGGGCCACAACAGTCACATTTTCACTTTTCTGTGTTTTTCTTTTTACCCCCCAGAACACAACAGGAGCGTCGGCCCCCAAGGATGTTCAACCTGTTCCCGAGCCTTTTCTTCCTACTTCAAAACCGAGGCCGTCTACCAGCTCCCGTGCCGGCATCTGGTGTGCCGCGCCTGCTTGGCCGACCAGCAGAAATCCTTGTCCATCCTGTGTATGAATTGCAAAAGGCTGTTTGCCAGCCACGACGTTTCGAGGGTCCATTTTTGAGAGGGAAAAGAGAACGGGGGACACGCTCTTCGGAGTTGGGAGGTTTAGCCCCGGGCAGGCTTCCTCGCGGTAGCCAAGAGGCAGGACTGGTTCCTCTCCCCACCACCACTCCCTCCACTGCCACCGCTGAGTCGCACAACGACAACAATCCTACACACGCTGTACTAAACAACGAAGGAACTGGTGAGGTTATACATGCTAGGACAGTAGAGTTTTAGAGCTGGAGGAATCAAAAGGATAATAAAGCCATATGCTTCTCTATTATTATTATTATTTTTGTCTCCAAAAACAGTTCATTTATACTGTATATATATAAATGGCTCTGTGTGTGTGTGTGTGTGTGTGTGTGTGTGTGTGTGTGAGTGTTCCAACATAATTCTGGAACGCCTCAAGAAAACAAATATTGTGGGGGTAAGACACTCCTAAAACCCTCGGTCTGTGTGTTCTGTTAAGATACAGCCTGTTGTGCCTTAAAATGGCTTCTACTGTACAGCACAGTGGAGTTGCCAGGGTAACAGCTTCACAGTACTCCACAAGGGGGCTCCCTCTCTGGTAAGGGGGGGGGGGGGAATTCAACATCAGAAATTACGTTTGGTCCGGGCATTTCCCCCCTATAAATAAATACCCGGGCAAAGCCGGGTTATCAGCTAGTTTATACGTAAAACTTCGCATCTTTATAATTTCAATTCCATTCTTTGGCCATGTTTCAAACTGCCCATGTTATCTGTGGCTTCCTGTTTCGCAAAAGGGAGCAATTAGCAGTTCACTTTTTACAGGATCTATTCAGAATAGAGCTGGAAGGGACCTTGGAGGTCTTCTAGTCCAACCCCCTGCTCAAGCAGGATCCGTTAAAAGGAGAACCCCCAAAATTGTGTTTTATACACTCCTGTTTGTTGTCAATCCTGGTCTCTATTGTGCAGCTAGGGGTGCGGTGCTCAAGGCATCTGACAGATGACATTTTAAGCCTTAATAAAATTATGGTTCGAAATCACAGGGGACTTAACCAGCAGTTGTATTGCTGTTACCTGTGGAAGCTGGGGCAACACTGAAAAATGTGCGTGAAAGTCCGCACATCTTAAAATTGCTGAATTGGAAAACATGCTCTAGAAGATGAGGAATAGAATAGGATAACAGAGTTGGAAGGGATCTTGGAGGTCTTCTAGTCTAACCCCCTGCTTAGGCAGGAAACCCTACACCACTTCAGACAAATGGTTATCCAACATCATTTTAAAAACTTCCAGTGTTGAAACATTCACAACTTCTGGAGGCAACTTCTGTTCCACTGATTCATGGTTCTCACTGCCAGGAAATTTCTCCTTAGTTCTAAGTTGCTTCTCTCCTTGATTAGTTTCCACCCATTGCTTCTTGTTCTACCCTCAGGTGCCTTGGAGGATAGCTTNCTCAAGACGGGAGAACTTATTATACCATCCCAGACAAACAATTGTCCAGTCTACAGGTAGCCTTCGACTCACTTCATTTTAGCAACTGTTCAAAGTTAACAGCAGCACTGTAAAAAGTGACTGAACGGCCATTGCAAGCATCCCCGCGGTCGCCTGGTTGAAATTTAGATGCTCGGCAACTGACTCATGTTTATGACGGTCGCAGTGTCCCACGTCTACATGATTCCCTTTGGCGAGCTTCTGACATGCAAAGTCGATGGGGAAGATGGATTCTTTAACAGCCTCGTTCTCCACTTAACAATCCCAGTGATTCACTTAACAAGCCTGGCAAGAAAGCTTGTAAAACGGCCCCGAGACTCACTAACTGTCTCACGTAGTCACATAAATTTTGACACACACACACCCCTTTGTAAGCCGAGGACCGCCTGTATTCCCCATCACTGACCATTATCCTGAATTGTAGATTTCCGCCGACGGCTACGAAGTGGAAAACCTCGTCTCCGAAGACCCCGTCAGGAGACACCGCGGCTTCCGCTGCGAATACTTCATCAAGCCGCCGGTTCATGTGACGATTTCCTTCCCCTTCAACGTGGAAATCTGCCGGATTAATATCGATACTTCTTCCGGGTCTTGCCACAACATCACCGGCTTGGATATTTATACCGCTACCTCATCCAATAAGGCCTGTTGGAATAGCCCCGAGCCCCTCTTCTCCGCCCCGTCCAGCCAGCATCCCGCGTTGGACAAAGAGAGCTTCACGCTGGTGGGCAAAGCCGTCTTAAAGAATCAAAGCAAAGTGACCTTCGGCCATCGGGGCTTCCGGCCCAGACCTCCCTTTCATCACCAAACAGACCCCCTCCTCTCCTTCCCCAGTTCCGCCTCTTTGGACTTATGGAATAAAGGCCCGACGTCCTTAAACAGCGTCTCGCACCTGAAAATCTGCATCACTCACGTGGCGGGCAGCGGCTTGCCTTCCATCAAGCGAGTGGAGGTCTGGGGCCAGCCGGCCAAAAGCTGCTCTCACGAAGTGGTGGATGATGTCCTCCAGCTCGCCACCAAATCTTTGTTGGACGCCTCGGAAGGTCAACTCCCCGCCCTGCCGATGGAGAGCGACGTCGGTCCCTTCGGACACGCCGACCACCAGGAGCAGAAGCTGGTGGAGGTTCTCCAGGACATCCCCGAAGAATTCCTGGACCCCATCACCCTGGAGATCATGACTCTGCCCATGCTGCTGCCCTCCGGGAAAGTCATCGACCACGGGACCCTGGAGAAGTGCAACCGCAGCGAGGCCACGTGGGGCCGGGTGCCCAGCGACCCGTTCACGGGGGTGGCGTTCAGCCCGCATTCTCAGCCCCTTCCCCACCCGTCCCTCAAGGCCAGGATAGACCACTTCCTCCTCCAGCATAACATCCCCGGCGTGAATCTGCTGGGCAGGAGACGAGCCTCCGGGACGGTGGTTGCGTCCTCCCTCGCCATGTCTTCGCTCAAACGGAAAATCGACCTGGTGGATCAGAACCAGGAAGGCGGCTCGGAGCCCGGATGCTTTTCGATGGTGGACTTCGCCGTGGCGTCCAGCTTAGAGTTCCACGGCAAGAGGGTGAAGATGGAGTGGGATTTGAATTCGTCGCAGATGGATTGCTCCACAGGTATCCAGAGCCTCTTCAGGTTTCTTTTTTAAAAACAAAGTTTTTTT